TAGGGTATCAAATGACTCGGCATGACAAAATAAACTCAACTTTAGTCATGTAGGGTATCAAATGACTCGGTATGACATAATAAACTCGACTATAGTCATGTAGGGTATCAAATGACTCGGCATGACAAAATAAACTCAACTTTAGTAATGTAGGGTATCAAATGACTCGGTATGACATAATAAACTCGACTATAGTCATGTAGGGTATCAAATGACTCGGTATGACATAATAAACTCGACTATAGTCATGTAGGCTATCAAATGACTCGGTATGACAAAATAAACTCGACTATAGACATGTATGGTATCAAATGACTCGTTATAACAAAATAAACCAAACTTTATTAATGATCAAATGATTCAGTATAATAAAATAAACAACTAAAATCATACTTTTGCCGCCATTTTTTTGAAAAAATAAAATAATTTTGATTTATTATATCTTATTTTTGATGCTCTATACAATTCGAAACGTTTTTAAATTTTTTTTTGACTGGCCGCCATTTTCTCTATGTTCTCGAAGAGATATAAAAATTTTAATGCATATTTTTATGCTTGTTTTTTGATGTTTTATTCAAATCTATACTTTAAAAAAAATCTAAAAATTTTCTTTACTTTGACCGCCATTTTGTCTATGTTCCCGAAAAGATAAATTATTTTTGATGCAACTTTTCAATACATTATTAGTAGTCCTCTCTGACCGTAATCTGAAGTCAGATTTACAAAATTCGTAAAAAAAATGCTACACACAGACACACAAAATAGATTTCAGAAAACAAAACTTTTTCAGTTTTTTTTTTGAAAAAACAGTAAATAATATATAATATTTTATTTATTATATTTATTATATTTATAACTTAGTATTAGTGTAATAATTTATTATTATTAAAATACTGTAACAATTTAATAATGTAATATACATGGATAACAAACTAAATATTTTTGTTGTTGTTGTTGGTATTTTTTTAAAAAATTGATCTATCAATTGGAGGTGGGGTGGGGTGGGGGGCAGTTAAGCTTTATTTAAAAACATACCCCCCAACAAAATCATTTCAGTCAATCATTTTTTTTATAGATATTTAAATTCTATTTTTAAATTTATAATTTATAAACTAATGTAATTTTAATAATAATTTAAAAATAAATATCAATAATTTATTTGGGTGCATTTCAATAATTTAAATTTAATAGAAATAGATATACTATTTATTTTTTTTAAATGTTTAAATAATAAAATTAGTAAATGTCTATTTTCATAGTTTTTGTTTTGTCTTTTTTATATATCAATATATGACACTGGTACTAATTGTATTTTTGTTTTAATTACAAATTAATTATATATTAATAATTTACAATGCTGTATAAAATTTATTATTTAATTATTACAGATTAATTATACAATAGTTTTATAATAATAATAATATTTTTCAGGTTAAATTTGGTTTCAAAACATACAAAATAATAATTATACAATAATTATTTTTATTTGTTTTTTATTTGTTAACAAATTTAACTAAAAATTATTTTTTTTAATTACATATACTCTACAATAATATACTGTATATATATATATATATATATATATATATATATATATATATTCACTATTACTAACTATACAATACTAGTATATATATACAGTATGTACATACGGTATATACTGTATATATAACTGAAAATATTATCAGTAATTTAAAATATAAATAATATTTATTCGTAACAAAAAATATAAATTAATTGCCGTTAAAATGTTAAAATGTTCGTAACAAAAAAAAACTTAATAGCAATTAATATAATTAAAAGTTTATTATAGGACACTAATTATCAATTTAAATATATATATATATATTTTTTTTTATTTATTATGAAATTATAATTACTAAAATTGTTTTCAATAATTATGTTTAATTGAAAATTTATTTTTTTTTTAAAAAACATTCATAATTTTTATTTAACTATTTTTTATTAAATTTTAATTAAAATTTATAATAATAATTTATAATTCAATATATTTTCTCTGTTAAATTTTTATTTATTATATTGCTTATGATGCAAATACATTATAAGGCAAATAATAATAACAAAATAGTTTTATGTAATGGAAAATTACATGAATTGCTTATCATTTTATTATTACAAAACTTATAATTGCTATTATTTTATGATTTTTAAAATTTTTTAAAAACTATATAAACAGCCGATCTACTAATTCAATTGTTATAATAACTAAAATAATATAATATTGATTTTTAGACTTGAGTCAAATAAAATAAATTATTATATATTACGAAAAATGTTGAAATTAATCACTATTTTTCTTATTATAATTCATACAGTATATCAGGTAATTTAAAATTATTAATATATATATATATATATATATATAGTATATATAATTTATTTGCTAATCAAACAAATATTGTTAAAAAAAAATTAACATTAAATTATTAATACAATTGTATTTTATATATATTGTTTATAAATTTGTTTTTTCAAAAAAAAAAAAAAAGATTCAAACACTAAAACAACATTTAATAATACGACTGATGAAAATTTTCAAACTGATTGTAAAAACAATATTTTATAAAAACCAATATACTATTGGTTTGAGCCAGGACAAAATGAAATATTGTTTGTGAATTTATCTACCTGGGTAATTTGTAAGTACCAATAATATATATATATATATATTATTAATTTTATTAATTATTAAATTAGAAATAATTTCTAAAAATATATATTAGGTATTGACAAACAAACAAATATTATTTGTTTTTTACTAATAATTTTTTTTAAATCAATTAATTGTTTGTATAGATATATATATTATATATAAAATAATAATAGAAACTAAAAAAATAGAATAAAATATATATATATATATATATATAGAAAATTTTTTAAACCCATAAATTTCTATACAAACAATTAATTGTTTTTAAAAAAATTATTAGTAAAAAACAAATAATATTTGTTTGTTTGTCAATTCCTAATATATATTTTTAGAAATTATTTCTAATTTAATAATTAATAAAATTAATAATATATACTAATTTTCTTAATATAATTTAAATATATATGATAATTTTAAATTATTATTTATATATTTATATATATATGGGATATATGTAATTGTTAAAAATTTTGTTAATATTAAATTATTAATTCAATTGTATTTTGTAATATTTATATATATATATATATATTAAAAAAACAATAATAACTAAAATATTATAATTTTTATTTTTAGTCTTTAGTTAAATAAAATAAATTACATTAACGGAAAATGTTGAAATTAATCACAATTTTTCTTATTATAATTTATATAATCAGGTAATTTAAAATTATTAATTTATTTATATATATATATAATTAATAGACTAATCAAACAAATATTGTTTAATTTATTTAACATTAAATTATTAATTCAATTGTACTTTTTTTTTAAAAGATTCAATCAGTAAAACAACATTTACTGATACAACAGATGATAACTTTCAAACAGATTGTTGTTTGAAAACAACAAACAAATATATCGATAGCCGTCAACAGTCGACACAACTATCCATTCAATCAATCAATCTGTAAATATATTATATAAATACATAATTAAATATAAGATTATAAAACTTACTTTTTTTTATTTATTATCAACAAAAAAAAAACTCGTATAGCTTATTATGATTTAGCTTAACCATAAAGGAAATGATATATATATATATATATATATATATATATATATATATATATACAGTATAACTATAGGTGAAAATATATTAAACCTGAATATCCACTATAAATAAAAACTTATAATTGTCTAATACGGCTGTTAACTATTGGGTTAGTATATATTTGCTAATTAAACAAATAATGTTTTATAAAAAATTAACATTAAATTATTAATTCAATTGTATTTTGTAATATTGTTTATAAAAATTTGTTTTTTTTAAAGATTCAAACACTAAAACAACATTTAGTGATAGGACTGATGAAAATTTTCAAACTGATTGTAAAACCATATATTTATATTTAAAAAAAAATTAAATATAACTATAGTAACAAAACCGGGAAATTGTTTACATAAGTTATTTGGGAAAAGTATCCAGGACAATTATTGTTATATGGTATTAGAGATGTTATTGGTATGAGCCAGGACAATTTTAAAAGTAATAGATATTTTTAAAATATTAATTTTAAAATATTAAATGTGAATAATATACTTTTACGTCATTATAATTTAATTAACAATTATTGAATTAATAGATAAACTGATTAATTGCTAAGTAATAAATCACTGTTTTATTTTAATGTTAAAATACAAGTTGTTTCTTATTATTATTATTATTATTACCAATTAACTAAACCATACCATTTTGTGTAAATAATTAGCTATAATATTACTAACTAAATAAATAATAGCAACAACAAAAAAATAGATAAAATATTTCAAAACTTGGCAACTGATCTAATCAATGTACTAAATACTATGACTAATATCTATTATTATTATTATTATTATTATTATTATTACCCTTATATACACCGACATTGATATATATATATATATTTTGAAAAATAACAACACAATTACTTAATAAATTGTTTTTTAAAAATATCAAATTGATTAAAATGTACTTAAAATTAAAATGATAATAGAAATTAAAATAAAAATGAAATTATGATAATTGTGTGCAACTATTTTTTAACAAATTTTTAATATATATATATATACAGTATATATCCTGTATAATTAATTAATTGATAATACTGTTACTAATAATTAAATGTATATATTTTTTAAAAAAATTAATTAATATAATAATAATTGTGTGATTAAATAATGTAAAAAAAAACAAAATAGTGTAACAATTATTATGATAAGTATTAGTAGAAATAAAATACAATTAATAAAATTTTTATTATTATTACTTATATTGTTAATCGATATAATAATTATTAGTATATTATATATTGATATTTTTATTGTAAATCCCAATTACGACATAACTGTGCGCAAGTTAATCAATAGTCCCAATGAACTGGAACTAACCAAACAACAAACAGTGAACACAAACCTGACCGCCGCCGCCGCCGGGAACTGCCGCCGACACTGTCGACAACCGTTAATAATATTCATACATTCGGCAGCAGTGGCCAGTGGCCTGGATTATGATAGGCGCCAAACCATACGGCATACATGGATGGCTGAGGCCAAACAATTGGGTGTTTGCACGTATTTTGTATTGGGTATGAGCCGGCAATTGATGGTCAATAGGCAATTGACTACCGAAACCGACCGATACCGTGATATACTACAGTTTCAATTTGTGGACAACTATTTTAATGGTACACTTAAGACCATTTCATTGATCAGATGGACAAATAAATGGTGTCCGCCGACAGTCAGACAACATGTATTGAAAGTTGATGACCAAACTGTTATCAATGTTAGACTATTGTTAGATAATTTACATCAATTTAAACAAGGTTAATTTATATATTTATATATATACTGTATATATCATAAAATAAATAGATTTTTAATAACAACAAAAAAATTATTACTACAAATTAGAAATATTTATTAAATCATAAGTATATATAAATATAGTAGTTATTAGATTTTAGATTAAAAATTTTTAGATAATTAAAAAAACAATAATAATAATACAAGTATTATTGATAATATATCAATATTATTAATTGTCAATATCAAAATGATACAGTTGATATATCAATTTGATATGTAAACTATAACTAAATTATACATTATATTAAGTAAATATATATTGTTTTAATAAATATAATAGAAATAAAAAATAGTTAGAAAAAATATATTAATAAAAATTAATTTTTTTTTTAAAAACAGGTATTAATGGATACTTAGAGTCAAAGTCGAGGATCAGTCGCGACCCAAACCATCGTCGGCGACACTATCAGACCGATGATTACCTGATGAATGGCGACTATAATTATCCCAATTATACAACAGGTGGAGGATATCTGATGAAAGACTGTACGGATAGACTGGAACACCAGTTAGACATATATACCGGTCCTGTAGTCGATCGCGAAGATCTGTTTATAACCGGTATATTAGCCCAAACGGCTGGCATCGGCCGATTTGATAGTCCACTAATTCATTGGACATCCGACCAATGTTCCGATGTTTGTGTCTACTATGGCTATCCAATTGTATTTGACTGCACCGGTAGTCAACTAACTGATTGGTGGTCACATATCCAAACAAAATCAATGTACAATTGCCATGAATTTCAATTTACAATCAATATGACTAGTGATTTAAAAATAATTATTTCATTAATAATCAGTTTAGTTATAATTATTATTTTTTTAATATTATATTTTATAATATTAAATAAAAATAAATTATTGTACAAAAATATTTAGATTAATTAGATATATAAATATTTATTCATTTAAATCAAAATTTATTTAATAACTAAAAAAATATAACATTTTTAATAATCTGTTTTCGTATTGTTATTATTATTATTTATAAAAAAAATCTATAATTAATTATTATAAAATAAACTTGTACAATTTGTGATTATAAAAAAATCAAATTTGTCTTATTGTATCTAGATCAAATACAAAATGTAATTAATTATTAAAATTAATTACATTTATCTATTTAATACTATTTTATTTCTAAGTTTTAATTCTATGTATGTAAAAAAAATGAAAAATATAATTTTATCATTTACTAAAAAAATATAAAGTAAACAATGTAATAGTAAAAATAAATTTAAAAAAAATAAGTTTCAATTATTATCATTTGGATGACAACGTAATGATAATTTGCGAAATATTTTAACAATTTTCAAAACTTTAGCGAAACAATCTTCAATAGACTGAAAAATGAAATTTTAAATTAATTATAATTATTTTTAAAAGAAAAATTATAAATATTTTTAGTAAGTTTTTTAAGTAATTTATAAATACTTTTATTATTTAAAACTAAAAATCTAAAATATTATATATAAAAATAATTATTTAATAGAATAGTAATAAGTTATTTGCAATAACACATTTGCAAACAAAAAGTAAGCATTAATTTAATTAATTTATATATAATAAAAAAATATTTAAAAAAAAAACTGAAATATTATTTTAGTAAACTTATAACAATAGTAATAATAATAATTATTATGAAATGTTTAGCATTATTAACATTGTCGGACAAAAGCGGTAATATTTTTTTATTAAGTTTGCAACGGTTGACAATAAATGGTTTAAATTAAATACCAATTCAAATGATATACGACTATAAGATATTTATGAAAACAACAACAAAAAAATGAGAAAAACATTTTACATTTTATTTATGTTTTCACGAACTCCTGTTGTCTGTCTGTCTGTGTGTCTGTCTGTCTGCCGGTCCGTCGGCGGCATCGAAGTGTCCGGCAGTTGGTCGACAAAAGTCGAAGAAGTAATCAGTTGTTTACTTGATATTACATGAGCTGATCCGACCGCTAAAACATTGGTATTCATTCACATGGGTTGATGTCTTGTCAGTTGATTTCGACAGCAATGGACGACAACAAAATAAGTCACGTTTTTATTAGAAATCGATTTCTGCGATATTTAGCCAAAAAAAAAGTGAATAATTTTAAAAACTAATCGTGAAATCAAAGCCTGTATAGTATGGATTTGTGTGGCCCATAGGTCTGAACCTAATAGAGGCCAAACATGTAGTATTGGTTGAGCCGACTCTGAATAGGGCTAATGAACTGCAATAGCCGTCGGTCGTGTCCATCGAATCGGCCAAACAAAGTACGGGTTGAAAAATTAGCAATAATTTTGTTGTTGTTGTTTGTTATAAATGTTTTGATTTGATTTGTTGTTGTTTTGTAGGTCAACAACACTAGTTAATCGATTTGTTGTCAAAAATATTAATTATATTAAATATTATAAATATTAGTAACTTTTACTATGACTATTGAATGAAATGAAAATGTATTGTTAAAAACAGACACAAAAAAAATGAAACATTTTTATTAGAATATTTGTTTTTAATTTTTTTTAAATTATAGTTTATTTCTAGTTTTTAATTCTATGATTGTAAAAAAATAGTAAAAAAATTGAATCATTTACTATGAAAATATAAAGTAAACAATGTAATAGTAAAAAAATTTACAAAAATTACAAAAAAAAATTAGTTTCAATTATTATCATTTGGATGACAACGTAATGATAATTCGCGAAATGTTTTACCAATTTTCAAAACTTCAGCGAAACAATCTTCAATAGACTAAAAAAAATGATATTTTAAATAAATTAATTAATTATAATTATTTTTAAAAAAAAAAAATTATAAATATTTTTAGTTAATTTATAGTTTATAGTCTATATATATATACTGTATATTAATTACTTCGAGACAACCCTTGGCTGATTCTCGTTCAACATTAGGTCCATCACTGGCCGTACATTTAGTGTATTGATTAATACTAATACCCATTGAATAGACAGTCTTATTGTCTGAATTTTGTTGAAATTCAAACATTCGTATTAAACTAACGGTATGTTTAGTCCAATAATTATTGGCAACATTTGCGGCCAAAATATCTGCAAAAGCCTGTTTGGCATCACTTGATTTGGTATTTAATTTTAACCATTTGTTGTCAACGGTTGCAATCGTAATGAATAATATTACCGCTGTTGCCGACAATGTTGTTAATGCTAAACATTTCATTATTATTACTATTAATTCTACTTTTTATTACTATTATTATTGTTATAAGTTTACTAAAAATAATATTTCAGTATTTTAAATAATTTTTTTATTATATATAAATTAATTAAATTAATGGTTATTTTTTTTGCAAATATGTTTGCAAATAAATTTTCTATTAAATATATATTTATTATATTATATATATATGTATATATATTATTTTAGATTTTAGTATTTAGTATTTATAATAATATATAGTATTATATAATAAATATATGTACTGTTTGTAATTTTTATATTTTATTATAAAATAGTTTATGAAATTTATAAATAAAGTATACATTATAATTATTATTGTAAAATAGAAAATATAATACTATTTTTTAAATACAGTAATAATGTTTAACATAATAAATAAAAATTTAATTATTGATTTACAAATTTACAGATATTAATCTATTATATTTAATTAAAATTATTTTTTAATAAATTAATTTTGAAAAAAATAATTTATATAATTGTAAGGTATACATTTACTAATATATAAAACAGTTTTATTTGGATATATTTTATAATTATAAATAAAAATATTGTTTTATCATAATATTTCTTAAACAATTTTTAAATATCATTTATAATTATTTATTTAATATTTGTAATATTTTATTAGTAATATTAGTATTAGTATAAATTTTATACTATTATAACATAAAATATAGAAAATCATTTTTTATTGTAAGTTTAAATTATTATAATAACATTATTTAAAGTCAAAACAAAAAAAAAATTGTATCAAAATAACTTACTAACTTAATTAATTTAAAAACAATTATTTAGAAAATATTAATTGATTTTTAGAAAATAAATAGTAAAAAACAAATAATTTTTATTGTTTATCAATAATACAGTATATATTTTAGAAATTATTTCAAATTTAATAATATTAAAATTCATTTATAATTTATACTACTGTAGTTTTTAAAATATAATTTATTGTTTAAGTCTATTGCTTAATTATTTTAGTTTATAATAATAATAATAATATTAAAATTTTATTATGTAATGGAAATTATAAATTGCTTATCATTTTATTATTACAAAACTTATAATTGCTATTATTTTTTGATTATTTTTTAAATGTTTCTAAACTATATAAACAGCTATATATTAATTCAATTGTTATGTAGTTTTTAAAAAACAGTAATAACTAAAATATTATAATTTTGATTTTTAATATAAGTTAAATAAAATAAATTACATTAACCAAAATGTTGAAATTAATTACTATTTTTTTTATTATAATTTATGTTTCAGGTAATTTAAAATTATTAATTTATTTATATATAATATATATATATATATATATAATTAATTTACTAATCAAACAAATGTTGTTTCAATTTATTTAACATTAAATTATTAATTCAATTGTATTTTTTTTAAGATTCCATCAGTAAAATAACATTTACAGATACAACGGATGATGACTTTCAAAAAGATTGTTTGAAAACATCAAACAACTATCGAAACCGTCACCACTCACCACAACTATCCCTCAATCAATCTGTAAATATATAAACAGTATATATATATATATATATATATATATATATATATATATATATATTAAATACAATATTATATATAAGATTATAAAAATTATTTTTTTTATTTATTCAAAAACCTTATTTAGCTAATATCTTATGCAAAAAATCGATGCAAACGCAGGTATCTCTTAATGATAAGATTAACCACAATAAACGAGATATAAGTATTGGTGAAAATTTAAGTCGAATATCAACTAATAATAATAGTTTTAATAGAGCTGTAAATCGATGGTTAGTATACTGTTATATATCTATATATCTATATATCTATATATCTATATATCTATATATCTATATATCTATATATCTATATATCTATATATCTATATATCTATATATCTATATATCTATATATCTATATATCTATATATCTATATATCTATATATCTATATATCTATATATCTATATATATATATCTATATATCTATATATCTATATATCTATATATCTATATATCTATATATCTATATATCTATATATCTATATATCTATATATCTATATATCTATATATCTATATATCTATATATCTATATATCTATATATCTATATATCTATATATCTATATATCTATATATCTATATATCTATATATCTATATATCTATATATCTATATATCTATATATCTATATATCTATATATCTATATATCTATATATCTATATATCTATATATCTATATATCTATATATCTATATATCTATATATCTATATATCTATATATCTATATATCTATATATCTATATATCTATATATCTATATATCTATATATCTATATATCTATATATCTATATATCTATATATCTATATATCTATATATCTATATATCTATACTAAATATAAATTTTATAAATTTATCCAAACAAACAGGTATAACGAATCATTGGCTTACAATTATAATAATTTTGTATTTAGTAACATTACCGGTCATTTTACTCAACTAGTTTGGAAAAGTACCAAGACAATTGGTTGTGCTAGATGCTATGGTATGAGCCAGTGACAAAATTACATACGGATATTGTTTGCGAATATTATCCACCTGGTAATTATAGGAACGAATTTATTGAAAATGTTTTAAAACCATAATTAATTTTTGTACAAACAATATAAAGTATATAACTTTTTAATTATAATTGATTTTTTTTATTAAAAAATAAACAATAAAATTATAAATAAAATGTGAATAATTATATAAATATGTTATTTTAAATTTATAAATTTATTATTCAATTATTTATAAACAACAATAACAGTTGTACATAATTTTTATGTTTAATATAATTTAGTAATAGTAGAGTAGTAGTTGATGTTGTAGTTGTAGTGGTAGTTTTAATAGTAATAGTAATAGTAATAGTAATAGTAATATAGTAATATAGTAATAGTAATAGTAATAGTAATAGTAATAGTAATATAGTAATAGTAATAGTAATAGTAATAGTAATAGTAATATAGTAATAGTAATAGTAATAGTAATAGTAATAGTAATATAGTAATAGTAATAGTAATAGTAATATAGTAATAATAATAGTAAAAGTAATAGTAATAGTAGTAATAAATTACATAACAATAGTTTTTATAATAATAATAATTATTATTATTATTATATAATATTGTAATATTATTCCCAATTATTATCATTTGGATAACAGGCTAATCTGTTTAGAAGAATCTGAAATGTTTTACCAATTTTCAAAACATCAACCGAACAATCAAATAAAGACTGTAAATAATAATAATAATAATAAAATCAATTAATAGGATTATAATTAGTTTTTTTTATAATAAATAGTTTAAATATAAATTTATAAATATATATATATATATTAAAAATTACTTCGAGACAACCCTTGGCTGATCGTTCAACATTAGGTCCATCACTGGCCGTACAATTAGTATAATGATTGACACTAAGACTTATTGAATATTGACTTTTATTGTCTGAATTTTGTTGAAATTCACTCATCCGTACTAAACCAACCGTATGTTTAGTCCAATAGTTATCGCCAGGATTTGTGGCCAATAGGCCAGCAAAAGCCTGTTTGGCATCACTTGAATTGGTATTTAATTTTAACCATTTGTTGTCAACGGTTGCAATCGTAATGAATAGTATTACCGCTGTTGTCGACAATGTTGTTGTTAATAATGCTAAACATTTCATAATTATTTTTATTGTTTTTTTTTTAAATATTTTTTTTATTATTATATATCTATATAAATTAATTAATAAATTAATGGTTACTTTTTTTTTTGTTGTTTGCAAATGTGTTGCAAAAGCAAATAACTTATTACTATTCTATTAAATATACAGTATATACTGTATATATATATATTTATATTTATTATTTATTAATATATTAGATTTTAATATTTATAATATCTAATATAATTTAATACTTTTACTGTTCAATTAATATAATTTATTATAAAACCAGTTAAGAATGCTAGAAAGCATTTTCAGAAAAAAAACTTGAATAGCATTGAAAACCATTAGTTTGTATAATTATAGCGGCTATATAATAACATATAAAAATTTAAAAACTGGTCAAATATACATAATATAAATATTGTCATGTATGGTATCAAATGATTCAGTATGACAAAATATTCTCAATTTTAGTCATGCAAGTTATCAAATGACTCAATATGACAAAATAAACACAACTTTAGTCATGTAGAGTATCAATTGACTCGGTATCACAAAATAAACAACTATAGTCATGTGGGGTATCAAATGACTCGGTATAACAAACTAAACTCAACTTTAGTCATGTGGGGTATCAAATTACTCGGTATAACAAAATAAACTCAACTTTAGTCATGTGGGGTATCAAATTACTAGGTATGACAAAATAAACAACTACTCGTGTGTTATCAAATGATTAAGTATAACAAAATAATCATCTATAATTATACTTTTTCCGCTTATACTTATTCTTTGTTCCCGTAGATATCAAAATATTAATGCATATTTTTTATTCTTGTTTTTGATGCTTTATTCAAATCTATAATTAAAAAAATTAAAATTTTCTTATACTTTTGCCGCCATTTTTTAAAAAATAAAAAAATAACTTTGATTTATTATATCTTATTTTTTATTCTCTATGCAATTCTAAACTTTAAAAATTTTTACCTATTTTTTTTATTTTGGCCGCCATTTTGTCTATGTTCCCGAAGAGATATCAAAATTTTGATGCTACTTTTCCATACATTATTAGTAGTCCTCTAACCGAATCTGAAGTCAGAATTTCAAAATTCGCAAAATGAAATGCTACACACAGACACACACACACACATAAAAAGCCATTATAGATATCAGAAAACAAAACTTTTCAAGTTTTTTTTGAATATTATTATTATTATTATTATCATTATTATCATCAAAAATAATTTATTTTAATCAATATAATTTAAACACAATACACATTATTCGTTATTTAAAAAAAAATAAAATAAAAATAAACTATAATAAATTTATAGAAAATTAAACTTTTAATAGGTTTTTATATGTTTAAAAGTTATTAAATTTTAGATTAATTATATATTATTATGGAATATTATATATGGAAAAAACTAAGTTAACAACAAGTTAAAAAACAGCTAAAATATTTGCAGTAAATTGAAAATAAAATAAAATAATTAACTTAAATAAAATATACAGTACAGTATATTTATTATACATTTATATACTGTAGATTAAATATAATAAATACTAATACTTTATATAAAATACATATTTTCTAGTTAGTACAGTACATACAGATATATAGTTGGATTTATTTAAAATTAATTTCTTTTAGTTTATATTTCATATTATCGGTTCCGACATCATTGACCAGCACTGGATAGTGGTCATTTTGACTGATACCGCAATTGTTTATCTGAGACCGGGACACTCTGGCAAAGCCATCCTCACCCCATAATGGGCCCCAACTGTCTCCCGACACACCCAGTCAACCGGGTATCGAAAATAATAATAATATAAATAAATAAATAAATAAATAACTAATTCACTGTAATTATCTAATTAAACTATTATTTTAAAATCTATATATGCTGTATAGGGGAAATGGTCTCAATAAGGGACGCCAAAAAAAATTATAAAAAGTTAAGCAATTGTTAGGATACAAGATCTGACAATAAATAATGTCTACAAAATTAATAAATTAATTAATTATATAATACACACAAAAAATTAAATACAAAAATTATTTTCATTTATTTTTATATTCTATCTACACAGAAATAATAAAATGTTCATTTTAAATTTTTGTAAATATTATAGATATAATACTACCGATTCCCACAATTATAGTTACAAAAATACAGTGCAACATATTTATAAGTTTAAAAAATTATAAAAAATTATAAAAAAATTAATTTAAATATAACTTTATTTATAATCATTTAAAATATTCAAAATCACAAAAACAAGATAATAATAATCAAATAATTAAATACAATGGTTGGTAGAGCTCTTTAAGGAATTTAAAATCACCAACCTATTGGGTTGGTAGAGCTATTTAAGGAATTTAAAATCACTAACCTATTGGGTTGGTAGAGCTATTTAAGGAATTTGAAAGCACTAACCTATTGGGTTGGTAGAGCTATTTAAGGAATTTGAAATCACTAACCTATTGGTTGGTAGAGCTATTTAAGATATTAAAATCACTAACCTATTGGGTTGGTAGAGCTATTTAAGGAATTTAAAATCACCAACCTATTGGGTTGGTAGAGCTATTTAAGGAATTTAAAATCACTAACCTATTGGGTTGGTAGAGCTATTTAAGGAATTTGAAATCACTAACCTATTGGGTTGGTAGAGCTATTTAAGGAATTTGAAATCACTAACCTATTGGTTGGTAGAGCTATTTAAGATATTAAAATCACTAACCTATTGGGTTGGTAGAGCTATTTAAGGAATTTAAAATCACCAACCTATTGGGTTGGTAGAGCTATTTAAGGAATTTAAAATCACTAACCTATTGGGTTGGTAGAGCTATTTAAGGAATTTGAAATCACTAACCTATTGGGTTGGTAGAGCTATTTAAGGAATTTGAAATCACTAACCTATTGGTTGGTAGAGCTATTTAAGATATTAAAATCACTAACCTATTGGGTTGGTAGAGCTATTTAAGGAATTAAAATCATTAATCTATTGGGTTGGTAGAGCTATTTTCGACTATTCGAATATCTCGAATAGAGGAAGTCGTACAGCTATGTGGGTGGTATGAAGAGATTGGATGCTATTAGATCTACCATCGCTATTCATGATTTTAAATTCCTTAAATAGCTCTACCAACCCAATAGGTTGATGATTTTTAGTCCTTAAATAGCTCTACCAACCCAATAGGTTGATGATTTCTATTCCTTAAATAGCTCTACCAACCCAATAGGTTGATGATTTTTATTCCTTAAATAGCTCTACCAACCCAATGGGCTAATCTTAAATATATAATGTCATATTTATACGTATTTATCATTTTTACGGATTATTTTACATTAAATATAATTTATAAAAACTTATTTTATTTTTTTAGTGTAACTTATTGATAATTTGTATTTTTAAATTTTTTCATTTTCATTATACATTCAAAATTTACTATTATTTTTTTGTGTGTAAAAATTATATTTATAAATAAAACTATAATTTGATGACGTTATTGACACTCATTTGTTGATAAAAATTATTTTGAATTACATGTCCCTAATTGAGATTATCGGCTAATTATTGATTTTTAATTAAATAATTAATACATAGATTAATAAAAGTGATTATTTTTGTTATTAATATTTTTACTAATATATTATTTATGTATAAAAAATAATAGTTATAATTTAATTATACTAAATATTGTTTAATTTAATTTCAAACTTAATGTTAAATAAGGGATGAAATGGTGATATTTTATGTTATCTTTGTTGTCAATTAATTGTTGATTTTGTGATAAAATTATAACAATTTTGATTCACTTGTCTTATAAAGTATATCCTTAGGTTTGTAATGACATATAAATATCAACAATTGTTTAATTATTTTGTGATTAAAACTAATTTAAAGTATGCCGTCCCCTATTAAGGCTATCCCCAATTAGGATTATTTACACTATATATATATATATATATATATATATATATATATATACTGTGTATACTAGTATAGTAGAAACTATGATATACCTGTTTTTTACAATAAAATACTCGGGCGTATAACCGACTGCAGTCAGATAATGACTCACACTATTGGGATCACATAATGGATCTTCAAATATACCGTATCTTAGTTTGTTGTTATAGTGTTAACAAAAATTATTTGTAATTTATTATATAGTAATAGTAATAGTAATAGTAATAGTAATAGTAATAGTAATAGTAATAGTAATAGTAATAGTAATAGTAATAGTAATAGTAATAGTAATAGTAATAGTAATAGTAATAGTAATAGTAATAGTAATAGTAATAGTAATAGTAATAGTAATAGTAATAGTAATAGTAATAGTAATAGTAATAGTAATAGTAATAGTAATAGTAATAGTAATAGTAATAGTAATAGTAATAGTAATACTTGTAATCTTTAAACCCATGAGTTATATGAAAGCTAACAGTGACCGGTCCGTGCGTATAGATAGCATACGCTAATTCATCGTCGGCTCCGGTAGTTATATGATTGACTTCTTTAATATCGACAAAGATTGGACTTTCTTGATGAAACTTGCAGTCGCCCGGCTGATGGTGTCAATTGAATTAATTGAGTTAATTAATTAATTAATTATATATTCATATAATAAATATAATAATTAGTATACAAATGCACTTAATTATTAATAATATATAAAAACATAACATATATATATACAAAATATATATAAAATATAACTAACTATTCCAGTATAGGGATATGTACTGTAAGTATTTATTTCTTTAACTGATTTTAAAAATTCAAAAACATCTCTACTGGAACCTAAATTTAAAAAAAAATAAAAATAAATAATTAATTAAGTTAATTGTTATTATTATATAATAATAATATAATAAATTATTATACAGAATAATAATAATAATAATAATAATAATAATAATAATAACTATAATACAGACCTCCATTGCAACCATCCGTTCCGTAACTACGAGTACAGTCGAGCAGATTCTGTTGACTTAATATCAATTGATTTGACGGATCAAACTTATCCTCAGAAATCTGAACCTTCATTAGATGACCTAATAATATAAGGATATAATATATATATATCAATAATAATAATAATAATAAAAATAGTAATTAAAATAAAAGTAATTGATAAATTTGTTATTATTATTATTATTATTATTGTTATTTACTTTCCAATACAGAGGCCGATGCAAAACACCAACACGAACCACAGTCTTCCTAAAAATTTAGTTTTATTTTAAAAAAATAAAACACTTAAAAATTGGGGGGGGGGGAAATGGCAGATTAAATTTTTATTTTTGATGAACTTTGGCACCTGGTATCAGGGATGCTATTTTATCTCAAAAAACAAAAATCATATTTAAAAAGTCCAATAAAGTGTTTTTAGCATTTAAATATATAATTGAATACTACTGTATTTACATGAACAGTAAATTTATTAAAATTTAAAACTTAATAAAAATTAAGATAGGTATTTATTTATAAATAAGTCAATATTTTAAAATTTATAACTAAAATAACTATTAATAGTATAATAGAATAAATCATACAATTAATTAAAAAAAAGTTATAGAATTTAATTAAATATTAAATAAAATAATTTTTTCTATTATAATTTATATAATATTTTATTATATTATTATTTATATTATATATCAATACAATTGTCTATTAAGAGTACCTAATATTAAAAGATGGTATTTATATCTAATATCTATATTAAATTTCTATAACTTATAGATTGTCTGAATTAATTAGATTATATAAAAAAAACTATTTGCTTGTTTGTATTATAAAAACTTTTACATTACTATATAAATATATAAAAGATAAATTTTATCTCTATGCTTACTATTATATATATTTATTTATATATATATATATATAGTTAATTGTAATATCGTAATGATATAATGATTATAAATTATATCAATTTTACAATTAGATATTTAAAAAAAAATACCTGATTTATTGGTAAGATTACTATACCATACTTTCTCCAATCCCATTCAATCGGTATATTATTAGTAGTATCGTCAGAATATAATGTTACTGTAATAGTAATAATATTAATAATAATAATAAATAATTATTACATTAATAATAATAATAATAATAATAATATATAATACAAATATCAATATATCCGATGCTCAGAGTATGTAATATAGCTGTTAATAACTATAACATCACTTATAAATAAACAACTTTTATCATTGTGCGGATGAAACTTATTGTACAAATACAATGATTTATTATAATAACAATAAATAAATTTCAAATATGATAATTGATAGTATGCTAATATAAAATATGTATACATATATAATATATAAATTTATTAAAATCAGAGACAAAATTAGTAATATTTATTATTTTTTAATTAAGTTTTAAGCAGTAGACAATATAATGGTTTTTTTTAAATTTAAGTTTTAGTTATTAATGTAATATTATTATTTATAAAAAAAAAATCTCAACAATCTGCGACACCGGTATACAGGCTCAGGGAGAGAGAGAGAGAGAGAGAGAGAGAATATACATACTTTTAGGCATTTTTTCGTTTTTACTTTTGTTTGTATTATTTCTTGAATTATTTTCGTTTGGTTTTTTATAACCGAATTTTTGTTTTTCTATTTCTGACCATTTCTTTGATGATTTATTTTGAATAATGATAACAATTTAAAAAAAAATAATAAAATAAAAAGTATAATCTATTATAACATATTAATCCATAGTTATTTTATTTTATAAAAAAAATATGTAAATCAAAATTAATTAATTTATTATAAATATATAAGACTAACCATATCTGACATTTCATTGATACCCTGTATATAATGGGAACAGTCGTCGGCGTTGTGTTTATTAATCGATACAATCGTTTCCTTGAATAGACCGACCCTTTCTTCCTCTTCCTCTTTGGTTTTATATGTTTTGTTGAACAATGTCTTTAAATTACACAAACAAACAAAAAATTTAAATAAATATTACTAATAATAATTGATTTGTTTTATAATATTTAACATAATAATAATAATAATAATAATAATACTAACTTTATAATCATTGTAAAACGTTATAATTTGTGTTGAATTATTTATATCAAGTTTACTTAAATCATAGTCGATAACAGTATTATTATTTTTAATTTCTTTATTATTAAAAATATATATATATATATAAATAAAAAAAATAATAATATTAATAATTATTAATATAATTGATATGATTAATAATAATAATAATATTAATTTATATATATATATATATATATAGTTACTTTTTTTAGTATTAATTTCAATATCTTTTTTTGTTGGTGTAAAAAAATCTATATATATTAATAAATAAATATATAGAAAAATTAATAATATAATTGATGTGATTAATAATAATAATAATAATAATTTATATATATATATATATAGTTACTTTTTTTAGTATTTACACCATCAACAGTCCTAATTGATTTAAGTGTCATATTTTGAAATTTATCAAATTCAAGCTTTTGACGGACGGGTAGGTTTAGGGCCAGATTTCGACTGTAAAAGTTAATTGGTTTTGATCTTAATATCAAATTGTTAGGCAAACTATAATTATTATTTGGTTTCTGATGAGATAAATCCAATAGCATTAGTATTATTGGTGTTATTATTAATAATACTAATACTAATAATTGATTTACACTAATAAGTTTCATTTTCTTAGTAGTTTAAAAAAATAAAATAAATTAAAAATATTATCAATAATTAGTAGTTGACTAAAAGTAAATGTTTGATGATTTTAATATGTGTGTTAATATAATATATATATATAAAGTAAAAAAATAAGATATTAATAAAAAAAAATCTTAAAGCAAATTTATTAATAGGACTTAAAAAAATTAATTAAATTATTTCTAAAAAAAAAGTTATTTTAGTATATATTTTTTTACGTCAATTTTATTTTCTTTGATTTAAAAATAGTTGAACCATATGTTGTATTATTTGTAAGTAATTTTTTGTTGTTGTTAAATAATTTATGTTATTTAATATTCACAAAAAATAAATAAAAACTATTTCTTTGATTATTATTGAAAATTTTCAATTTTCTAATCAATTATTTAAAAAATAAATACATGTTTAACTAATTATATAGACCACTATTTAACCAACAACAACAAAAAAAACGGTTTAATCAAATTTTTTAAAAAACAAACAATAAATTAATACAATTTAATTAGGAAATCATTATTATTATAGATTCTGTATTTAAAAAATAAAAAATAATTTTAGAAATTAACTACAATAATAGCAATAAATTAAATTAATTTTAATCAATTGATTTCAAGTATAAATTTTTGTTTATTTTTAACAAGTCAATTAGTTTATTAAATTTTTTACATTTTTATATTTTACAAATATTTTTATTAAAGTAAACCACAAAAATTTTCTTAATTGATATTGAAAAACAAAATTAATTTATTATAATACATGTACATCTAAAAAAACACACACACATTTAGAAACTTGAAAATTAATTATTTAAAATAATTATCTAGTAAAGTTTATATAAATTTAACTAATATAATACATATATTTATATATGTAGTTTAATCAGGGTTGCAAAAAGGGGGGGGGGGGTTGGGTAGAGTAAAATCATCTTACCTCCCTGAGATCCCTAAAATTTTCCCCCAGCGGGACCCCCTACCAATTTTCGTCGCCAAAATTATTTTTAATTTATGTAATATTTTATATTAAACAAAAAACAAATAAATAAATATTAAATTAGTTTTAGTATAAAGTAATAGCTTATGTATACAACATAAATAAAAAAGATATAAATACTTTATTACATTTACATTTAACATTATTTACACTAAATAATATCGTTTTATATATATGTAACAAAAACAATAAAAATTAATAACATAAAAAAAACCAGTTAAGAATGCTAGAAAGCATTTTCAGAAAAAAAACTTGAATAACATTGAAAACTATTAGTTTGTATAATTATAGCGGCTATATAATAACATATAAAAATTTAAAAACTGGTCAAATATACATAATATAAATATTGTCATGTATGGTATCAAATGATTCAGTAATTCAAAATATAATATAGTCATGTGGGGTATCAAATGACTCGGTTTGGCAAAATAACTACTCATGTGTGGTATCAAATGATTTAGTATAACAAAATAATCATCTATAATTATACTTTTGACGCTTATACTTATTCTTTTTGTTCCCGTAGATATCAAAATTTTAATGCATATTTTTTATCCTTGTTTTGATGGTTTATTCAAATCTATACTTTAAAAAAAATTTTCTTAAAATTTTTTTTATACTTTTGCCGCCATTTAAAAAAATTTATACTGATTTATTATATCATATTTTTGATACTCTTTACAATTATAAACGTTAAAATTTTTACCTAATTTTTTTACTTTGGCCGCCATTTTCTTTATGTTCCCGAAGAGATATCAAAATTTTAATGTATATTTTTTATCCTTGTTTTTGATGCTTTATTCAAATCTATACTTAAAAAAAAATTTTCTTAAAATTTTTTTTACTTTGGCCGCCATTTTGTCTATGTTCCCGAAGAGATATCAAAATTTTAATTAAACTTTTCAATACATTATTAGTAGTCCTCTAACCGAACCTGAAGTCAGAATTTCAAAATTCGCAAAATGAAATGCTACACACACACACAAAAAAAGGCTCGTATAGATTTCAGAAAACAAAACTTTTCAAGTTTTTTTTTGAATATGTAATTTTATAAATTTTATACATAGTTTAATACACAATTAAAAAAATTATAATAGATAATAAAAAATATACTAATAATTTTTTAAAAATATTAATATTTAATACTTAATAGTGAATAGAAATTTTTATTTAATAATTTATTTTATATAACATTTTTATTTAATAATTTATTTTATATAACATTTTTATTTAATAATTTATTTTATATAACTTTTTGAAAATAATTTTCTATATAAATGAGATTCAAATATTTTATTGTAAAATAAACATTTACTAAAAAATGTAAAATAATTTTAAAGTGAATCTACTGTATCAAATAATTAATGTAATATACAGTGTATATACTGTATATACTGTAGTAGTTAAGACAACATGGTTCACGAGGGGAAGGCACAGTGCTATCCCCCATATAACTGTGTCACGGAGAGGGGGTTCACGTGATCACGTGATCCAACCCAACCTAACCTAAGTGTACTACACCAATGACGTCACCACTACCTCTACCCAAACCTAACTGACCAACTAACCGAACCTAACCTAACTGACCAACTACCCGAACTGACCAACTACCCGAACTGACCAACTTCCCGAACTGACCAACTACCCGAACTGACCAACCCTACCCAACCTAAGTGTACTACAACAAATGACGTCACTACTACCTCTACCCGACCTGACCAACCAACCGACCTGACCAATTACCCGAACCTTACCTGCCTGAACTGACCACCTACCCAATCTGACCAACTTACCGAACAAACCAACTACCCGAACTGACCACCTACCCGAACTGACCAATTACCCGAACCTTACCTACCCGAACTGACCAACTACCCGTACTGACCAACTACCCGAGCTGACCAACTACCCGAACTAACATTAATTATTGCATACAATACATGTAATATAATGACATCACTGTATTGAAATAATATGTACACACTGTATTGCAATAATATTACATATACTGTATATATTAATTAACTTAAATTGTTAATAACTTTTTTAATTGTAATTAAAATTAAAATTTTTTATTCTTAAAAGATGCTTAAAAATGTGTAGTTTAAGCTAATAAAAAAATAATTATGAAAAATTAACTAATAAGCGGTCAAATTAACAAATTAGTGTCTTATAGACTGTAGTACGGAATACATTGGATTGAGGCTAGCATTGTATTCAAACATACATCAAATTAACTCGCCAGTGGAAGATATCAGTGTATAACTGAGTCTTGAATTTATAATTTGTGATTATTTATAAAAAAATAAAGTAAGCACAAAAAAAAAAAAAAACTTTTTAAAAAAAAAACTTTTAAAAAAACTTTTAAAAAAAACTTTAAAAAAACTTTCAAAAAAAATCTTCAAAAAATTAATATTAATTAATTAAAAACATTTTTTTATTTACTTTCATATTTTATGTTTAGCACTATGAATAACTATCCTAGAGATAGTTTCGATAGATTTGGAGATGATTTGTGTGCATTACTATTAAGTCCGCTGGTCGCAGATGACAAATCATGTCTAAGTGAAGTTTCAACTCAATGGAAACAATGTCTTCCTGTTTATCATCGAGTTCTCCGAATTACCGACGATTACGATTTTGATTGGCATAAACGGATCGATGACAATACAATACGTTATGGATCTCTAGGTTTAGGATATGTAGCACTCGGCGATAAGTGTTTGCAGTCATTACACTCAAAATGGGCATACATTACTAAATTGGAAATCAATTTGGCAATTATTACACAAAATAAATCAATGCATTTATTTTTGGATAATTTCAAATATTTGAAGGAAGTGTCATTCTTTTGGGGTGACAAATTTCCAATTGATGAAGAACTCATCTATATTCTTGATTTGGATATTCCGGCAAAAATTAAGGCCATTAATTTTATGGATAAGATAAAATTCAATAACAGCAATTTTGTGAAATTTATTGAAATGTATGGCGAAATACTTAAAGAAGTGCACATTGACGGTGAAGTATCGTCTCAACTACTATGTGAACACTTGCCTATTTCACCAAAATTGAAAGAACTCATTATTAACAAACAATTAACCAAAGATCAATGGATTAGTCTTTCTGTCAACAAATCATTGAAAAAACTGACAATTGACTATGATGTCGGTCAATACGTTTTTAATGCATTCAATTTAATTAAACAACTGACGCCTTCAATATACTTTAAATCTGATACGGGTAAACAAGTGGCTATTGTTGAAAGTCTACCAGGATTTGGAAAAGTTGTCGATAAACTGAGAAAAACTGGTACTTATAAGACTTCAATGAATATGAGAAATTACTCTAATTTTTGCGTTTACGTAAAAAATCGCAAAGTACTTGTATTGTATAACATTTACAACAACTACCTTAAAGCTGTATTAGAAAGCAAAACAGCAGGAGTTTGTGAGACTATTGTATTTGATAAAAGTGTTAATATCTTCAATCATTTTCATGGATATCTAAGAGATGCATTAATGAAACCAAACATCACGAATATTGTTATACCTGAATTTGGACTAACACAGAAATTTTTGGATTTGTTAATAGCGAAAGCTTCTAAATATCCTAACAAAGAGTTAACCGTATCAATAGTGAACCATATGGCTGTCAATAAATACCAAATTAACAACTTAACTATATACACTACTTATAAATACGTAAAAGATAATATTGTTTATGAATAACTAATTATGTAATTATTTTTAATGATTTATTTTATTATACAGAAAATAAAAATATTTACAATTAACTTATTTATGTAAATTTTATACAATAAATAATTGAATAAAAATAATTTTATTTACAAAAGCGTTCGTTAAAAATTTTATTTCTAAAGTCTTTATCTAATACATATGATATATTTTCTTCAATAAGATTA